TACCCGGACATCGTGGGCATCCCCTTCGGCGAGCTGGGCCTCGATACCGACCACCACCTCCAGACCAACGAGGCCAACTACTACTTCTACCTCAACGCCACCGGCATGCAGTGCAACATTCTGCCCAACTCCGGTCCAATGCCGCCTCAGCACGCCTTTGCCAACCAATCGGCCTTTGTCGGCGTCACCACGTTCGAGGGGCGGCTGGTCAATGTGTTCACCACCCAGATCGAGGTCGTGCCGGGCCTGAGCACCCGGGCCAACCTCCTCCAGGACGTGGCCACCCTGCTCCCAGTCCGGTTCAACATGGAGGGCGTCCCGCCCTACGACCTGCTCGGCCCCAACGAGATGACCTTCCTCACCTTCGCCGAGGTGTCGGCCCTCCCCGCCGACGTGCCGCTCTTCAACCCGCCCAAGGCCTGCCTCAACGCTCGCCCCGTGCTGGGCTTCGGCAGCCTCGCCAGCCTAAATCACCGTCCCCTCCGCCGCTGATGGCAGCACTCGCCTGGAGTAAAGTTGATAAATTGAGCGTGTGCGGTTGTGTTGTGTGCGTGGCGCGAAGCGTTCTCGTCGTGCGTGTGTGTGTGTGTCCTGTGCGTTTTTGACGCCACGAGCAGAACGCTACACGAGCGAAAATGATGCTCGGCCGAGCAAGGTTCGAACTCGCGTCTCATGCGTGAGAGGCATACGTGCTTCCCGCTGCACCACCGGCCGGCACGCTGATAGTCCATCCACGGCGAAGGACGAGGCCGGCAAGACTAACACGCAAGCCCATTTGGGGGGGGGCTAATGGGGATGAATGGCAAATGATAAAGGAGAAGAGCATCTTCATTAGGTACAGTTAATGCTCGGAGGAGATGGGCCGACCATTGGGCTTCCGGCCGAGAAGGCGCTGGGCCGAGTTCTGGGCAGCTATGGAATGACCGCCCAGGAAGCCAAGGATACCACCGCACAATGCCACCGATTTCCTAGCACCCTTGCCTGCAAGAATCAAATGAGATTACTTTGCATTTGCGCGCTTGGGGGGGGTGAATGACGTGGATAATAACGTACCAGCCATGTAGCCCCAAGCAACACCGGCGCCAGTCAGTCCGACCAAGATGCCCCAATCGCTCAGCCGCATGTGCCACAGGATCGAGGGATAGGTGGGCTTCGGGTTAATCACCGCATTCTTGGGTTCCTCCGTGAATACCACCATCTTCGTCTTGCTTTTCCAATCAATCAATCAATGCGGATTTGTTTTGGTTTTTGTTTTCACTTCTTTAAATAAAAAGAAAATATGTTTAGGAAAATATCTCTGGGTCCATACGCACTCGCCTCAGCAGGAGTGGTCCATCGGTCCGGAGAGGGGGATCAGGCGGATCGGGGTCCTGCGGGCCGAGTTGCGGAGCAGGTTCATCTTGCCGCCGCTGCTGGTGGTCTCCCTGCGGAGGAGGTCCGACGTGGGCTTGATGGTGCCCTTGGCCTCGTCCTCCTCCTCTTCCGTCGAGCTGGACAAGGCCAGCTGTGCACAATCACCAGCGTCAGGTCAGCAAGTCTGCAGCACCACAGGAACATAAAGGTGGCCAAACTAACCTCGGTGGTGTTGGTGATCTCCTTCTGGCTGACTTGCGCTATGAAGTCCTTCTCGCCCTGCAGCAGCTCGCTTCGGAACGCAATGCGCAGGTGCGGCAGGTTGGTCTTGCTCGGCGCTACCGGGGGAAAATGCGCCACATCAGCACCGGCCACCACACACGTGAGAACAGTCGCAGCACGTACTGTTGCCCTCGATGCCGGTCTTCCAGTAGTTATCGCCGATCCACTGCACCTTGTCGCTATGCGTGAACCCGCTCTGGAGCACCGAATTGCGTGCCACCTCCGAGAGATCGGTCACGCTCAAGCGGTAGAGCTGCATTCACACGTGGCGCGCCAATCCATCAGCTTTAAGTAAGCGTCGGGCGGCCGGCACGAGAAGAAGCACGATAAGCACCTGCGCGGCGATCGAGTACTCCTCGACCAGCGGCTCGGGCGTCTGGTGCAACTGCAGCGGGCAATCTGCAATAATGATCATTAAGGTGAGACCTAAACGTACGAAATAATCGAAGGGTGGTAGTTACCGGTCGAGAGCGAGACGTTGAGTCCGCGCTTGAAGAAGGAGACGAAGATCCCCTCGCTGTAGTCGGCGTACAGCGCATGCTCGCCGAGCGGCGAGATGGCGATTCCCACCTGCGCGAGGTAGTAGAGGTACTGGAGCGGAAGGCAGTGCTTGAGGTTGCTGCCGTGCGTGATGCCGTTGGACAGCAGGAAGGCCGCCGCCAGATGGTCAATCGGTCCAGCCGCGCCCGAGTGCGGCCTAGCAACACAAACACAAATATGTCAACAATCGCACACGCACACATACGACCGCACACACACGACGCACACACACACGTCGCACATAACACACGTAGGGGGAGAGGAGACCTGAAGTCGAAGGTGTTGAGGCTGCGGGTCTCCCGGTATTTGTTGAGGGACCACACGTTGGCCCACATGAAGTAGAGGTAGTAGGCGTAGGGCGGGTTCTCCTTGGTGTCCCACCGACGCGGATCGGCCGGGCAGGTCTTGAGGTCCTTGCGCTCGGCCACGTCTTCGTTGTCGACACTGTCGAAGCCCGAAACCTGTTCAGTGATGAAGCGGTGCAGCACCGGATCCAACGACGGATTCTTCGTCACCTCGAACAAAGGCAAGAAGATGTCTGTCCACAACACAACACGACATGACACACGACACGCGACACACGCGACACGCGACACGCGACACATGTCAGCCGTTGATGCGTGGGCGCAGGCGATGGCGAGGGAGTGCGTACTGTCGAGCATGTCCTGGAAGGAGTGTACGTCGTTCTTCTCCTTGAGGATGTGGTAGAGACGCGGGACCTGGATGACCCACTTCAGGTGGGGCGAGACCAGTCGGTTGTTCATCACCCACTGGGCCAGGTGGCTCCACTCCTTCGGCGACGTGCCATAGACCGAGATGCGCCACTCGGCCATCTAGAGACGCAGCCGCGATTAGTGTCACGACCGGTCGGCAGTGAGCTTCATCGCGGGCGTACCTCGTGCCGGCCCTTCTCGAGCTGGTCGAGCTCCTGCCGCAGCAGTTCGCCGAAGTAGCGACCGTCGACGTCGTTCGACTTCTTCAAGAAGAGCGTCCGCAAGTCAGACGAGCCTGCCCACCATCCAACAACAAAGACATCAGCAATCACTAGAATGCGTGTCGCGTGTCGCGTGTCGCGTGTGTGTCGTGAGTTGCGTACCGAAGGGGTTGTACTTGCTGTTGAACTTGTCGAAGCGGCCGTAGGTGGTGTGGTTGGAGTGGGTGTCCAGCGAGTCGAGGGTGAAGTTCTCGATCGGGACGCCCGTCGACTTGAACAGCGCCTCGAGCGTCACCTCGCCCTTCTTGACCACAATGTCCTATTTTTGGGGGGGGAGCGTCGGCTAAGTGGGCTGACGACCGGGGAGGGGGGCGCCAGTGCCAAGGACGAACATAGGCGTACATTGGGGCTGGTGGCGTATTTGTTCTTGATGAAGGCCAGCAGCTTGGGGGCGACCACGGCCGACGCCGCGTGGATGTGTGTGTCCACCTTGACCACGTGGTAGAAGTCCTGCTGCGCAAACTGGGACCGGCGGGGCCACCACACGACACGCACGCGTCGAGAGGTACAGAAAGTTAGGAAGAACGCGGCGCACGTACATTGGTGGGGGCTGCGGGGCGCGTACCCTCATGGCGTCCTTCTCGTACTCGGTGTTGACCAGCGAGTGGAGGTCGAAGCGCGCCTCGAGCAGGCGCAGGCGCTGATCGGCCAACTGACACACCGCCTGCATGGCCCCAACATCGAGAATATTTTAATGTAAAATCTCATCTCAATCATATTATCATGTAATGTAGAGAGAGATATGTGGACAGGAAAGCAAGTTATTCTTGCCGTACCAGGTCGGAAACGACGTGCTTGATGTGGCGGTAGTCACGGACGAACTCGGCGTACGAGGGCACCGTGTACAGCAGCTGCCCCTGCCTGTCGCCGCCTTGATGGACAGGGAGGAGTCAGTGCCTGGCGAATTACTACCGTGCAGCACAGGCGAGGGTCATTGGGGAGAGGGGTACCTTTGATGGCGTAGCGCTTGTGAGTCCGCCTCTGCGGGTTCCGGTGGAGGATGGCATCGCAGTCGCGACAGTGGCTGGCCTGGCAGTCCGCGCACTCTACCAAGGCCAACTGGTCCAGGTCATTGGCGCAAAGTGCTGCACCACCAACGCACACCACCACGCAATCCATCGTCACGATTCAGAATTGTTCGTTCACGACGCCCAGGCGCGATCAACGTTACCGGTCTCGCTTGCGGCGACATGGTACACTCCTTCGGCCAATGTCAGGGTCTCCTGAAAGGGCGAGCGTGAGTTGGTGTGAGGACTCAGCCGGCACGCGCTACGGGCTCGTCGGAGCAGTGGAGATGGTGGGTGGTACGTACGGCGGAGGGCTCGGGCAGCGGCTCGGCCATGACCCGCTCCTTCAGGGAGGGCTTGACGTAGGCGTACTTGGCGCGAAGGGCGAGGGCTTGCGCGAGCATCTTGGCGGCCCACACCATCTCCTCCCCACCCGCATACTCTGCGCGGGCGCGGAGAAAACGACGCGCGGCGGCATAAGCCATAACTTCATCGGAAGCGTGAAAGGCCTCCGTTCAAGAAAGTGGTACCGTGCCCCGGCGGGTAGATGATGTGAAGTTTCGAGTACTGCGTTTGTGTCCGCAGACGGAACGAATCCTCCCTCGTCGGCCTGATTTATTTATTTATTTATTTATTTTGGTTTGGTACGAGCCCAGATATTTGTGCGTAAATATAATATAAAATAAATAAATATATGAGCGGGTTCGTACCTTTGCTTGGTGCGCGAACCAGAGCACGCCTTGACGAACTGAAGTTCATTGTGGAACGTCTCCTCCCGGAAGAGCACTCGCATGTTCGGGATGTTCGAGTAATTGATGTCTGTGCGTGCGCTTGAGCGTCAGCAGAAGCTCGCGCACTGGTCAAACTACAAAAGAAAGAAAGAAAGAACGAAGAACGAAGAAGAGCGAAGAAGGAGTCAGTCAGTACCGTTGCCCTGAGTGAAGGGTAGGTAGTAGCGCGGGCCGAGCCACTTGGCCTTGAAGCGGTGCTCGTAGCCGCTCTGCAGCACCGAATTGCGGGCGATCTCGGAGAGGTCGATCGAGTTCAGGTTCCACTGCTGGCCGGCGATGGCGTACTCCTCGATGAGAGGCGACTGGGTGTAGTGGAACTGCAGCGGGTCGTCGGTCGAGAGCGACACGTTGAGTCCCCGGCGGAAGAAGCGGTTGAACGGATTCTTCTTGTACTCCAGGAACAGCGCGTTGTTGCTCAGCGGCGACACCGCGATACCGATCTGTGCCACGTAGTACCTGCGTAGCGTTGTAAGTGGTGCCGAAATTAGCATTTACATGTAGTGTGTCGTGTGTCGTGTGTCGTGTGTCGTGTGTCGTGTGTCATGTGTAGTGTGTCGTGTGTCGTGTGTCGTGTGTCGTGTGTCGTGTGTCGTGTGTCGTGTGTCGTGTGTCGTGCGCAGAGGAGAGTGGTGCGCACAGGTATTCGAGTGGCGGCCGAGAGTGGAGCTTGATGCCGTGATTGATTCCTCGGGCGAGCAAGAAGGCCGCGGCCAGGTGGTCCGCATCGCCAGATTCGCCGCAGTGCGGCCTACGCGCACAGGCAGCAGGAAACGGTCAGCGCGTGGGCGGCTTCTTTGGGCGGATATGCGGAAATGGGCAAATAAATAGATAAATACCTGAGATCGAAGGTGTTGAGTCCGCGTGCCTCGCGGAGGCGGTTGAGCGTGACCAAGTTGGCCCACATATAGTACAGCCAGTAGGCGTAGGGAGGGTTCTCGTCGATGTCCCACGCCTCGGGCGATTGCGGCAATGCTCTGTTGTTGGTTGTTGTTGTATGCACGACCAAGCCGAGCGAGCAGAGAGAATGTTAGGAATGTAGTCCGACCGACCGACCGAAGAGAGGAAGTTGTGCGGGCGCGCACCGGAGGCAGAGCTGTCGCTCGGGCCGCGACTCGTCGTCGACGCTGTCGAAGCCAGATACCTGTCGCAGAAACTTGTGCAGATGCGGGTGCGACGTCGGGTCCAGCGTCACCTCGAAGAGCGGGCGGAACACGTCTGCATCACATAATTCCAGCACATTCAGCACGACCGGCAGGGAGGAAGGGGAAGAGGGAGAAGAAGAAGAAGAAGAAGAAGAAGAGAGTCAATTGATCTCTTCAACGTACTCTGAATGAGCTCGCCAAAGTTCTTGATCTGGTTGGTCTTCTTGAAGAGGGTGTAGATACGCGGCACCTGGATCATCCACCTGTTGTGGTCGCTGTAGAGCTTGTTGTCGCAAATCCACTTGGCCAGTGAATCCCACTCTTCGGCTTTCCTGTTATTACGTCGTTCAACCTGATGTCAGCTATGCGTGCATGTGCGTACGAGCGTGTGCGTGTGCGATGGGCGTGGAAGGCCTCTAACCTGCCATAGATGGAGACTCGCCACTCGGCCATGCAGTACTTGGACTCCTCCAGGCGATCAGCGGTCTCCTGGGTGAGCTCGGCGAAGAACTTGCCCTCCAGCTGATTCTCGGACTTGAGGAAGATGGTGCGCAGCTCGCTGAACCCGAAGGGCGAGTACTTGTCGTTGAAGTTGTCGAAGCGCTGGAACGTGTTGTCGGCCTAGTCGTCGTCATCGCCATCATCACCACCACCACAAGCCCCCAAACAAGGAATTAGAAGAGGTCACTTGCGTTTTGGCGGATTCTCTCCCAATGGAAGCATCGCCCGAAGCGTACCCGCACGTCGAGGGCGTCGACGGTGAAATCGGCCACTTCGAGGCCCAGGTGCTGGATGGTCTGGATGAGCGTCACCTCCTTGCCGTCGGGTGTGCGAGAGACCACCTGCAGCGACCGCATGTCGATTCACGACCAGCCAGCGAGTGAGTGGGTAAGCCATGAGTAGTAACGAAAATGCTGCACACTGCTCTGCAGAGCAGAGAGGAGAAGCGCGTATCAAGCGCCGTACCGTGTTGGGGTTTTCCGTGAGCTTGCGCTTGATGAACGTCAGCAGGTGCTTGGCGGTCATGGCAGCGGCCAAGTGGATGTGAGTGTCGACCTTGACCACTGCGCGCGGGCCAAAAGAGTCGATTCGTCGCTATCAGCACCACTGGCCAAGTTGCATGGCCAGCAGCGTACGACGCACGTGATCAGGGCAGGTCAAGAGCGTACCGTTGGAGAAGTCCTTGGGGTCATCCATCTGGGTGCTTTCGATCTCCTGGGCTTCGTTGAGCAGGCGGTGGAAGTGGAACGAGAAGTCCAACTGCTTCAGCCGCTTCCATGAGAACGTCTTCATGGGTCCCGAGTTGGTGATGTCCACAATCCTATGTGTCGATGCGTTGATGTGTTGACGTGTTGTGTGTTGCGTGTTGCGTGTTGTGTGTTGCGTGTTGTGTGTTGTGTGTTGTGTGTTGTGTGTTGTGTGTTGTGTGTTGTGTGTTGTGTGTTGTGTGTTGTGTGTTGTGTGTTGCGTGTTGTGTTAGCAAGGATTCAACTCGATTTCGAGGGAGGGCGACGCCACCTGTTGTAGTCGCGCTCGTAGTCAGTAATGCTGTGCACGTCGACCAGAGGCTTGTCCTCGTCAAGGGCTGCACGATCGTTCGAATGCTGAGTCAGGCATGAGGGCCACATGGTCCACCGCGCATACACGCGCACACGCACCTTGCTGATCAGCGTAGACGCGGATGATGCCGTTCTTGGCACCGATGCGGTACTGCGCAAACGGGCTGTCGGGCGCTGGCTTCACCAAATCGCGCTCGTGCCACACGTCCAGCGACTCCTGCACACAACAGTAATCATTGAATAATTGATATTATCTCAAAATAATTATTTTTGTAATTTATAAAAAGCGAATAAAGTTGACTGTGCGGGCGGGCGAGCGTACCCCGCTGTCGTGGTGCACGGGCTGGGCGGGGACGAAGAGGTACTTGGCGCGCAGGTTGAGGGCCTCGTTGACGAACTTGCAGGCCTCGACGGTCTCCTTGTTGGCCCCCTGGCCGTCGTCAAAGGTCTCTATCGACACACGCGGGTGCGAGTACTTGGACGAGCCCACCGACATCGACGAACGGGACATCTCCTTGGCCTTGCCTTGGTGGTCGCCGCTGGTTGAAGAAGATGAAGAAGATGACGAAGAAGCAGTTACGGTGATGAGGGGCGTCTCCATCTTTTGGAATTACTCGTTTCCTGAACGATTGCGTTCGGCTTGAGCCGACTTGTGGTGGTAAAGAGCTGACGTTGGTTACTTAGGTCAGATGCGTGACCGTCGGCGCAAGATGAAGGCTTCACGAGGTCTTGCGGGCCGTCGGTGACGAGCGCGAGCTGACATGCTTGGCATTCCAGTCGGCGAAAATTGGCAAAAGAAAAGAAAAAGATCACAACTGATCGCAAAAGATCAGCACAGCAGAGAATGAGCAAACGCAAGAGGGAGGAGGCAGATGGACTCATCGATGAGGTGGACGAAGAGGACTTCAAGCTCACCGAGGCCGAAATCGCAGAGCTGATTGACACTGCCCCCGAGGTGCGCAGCCTTTTCATTTTAAATTAAATTAAATTCAATCAGGCATTTATTCAATTGCAATTCTGACTACTTATGCCTGAACAGGTCGAGGCCTTGACGGCACAAGGTCTGCGCCGCCTGGTGCTGAACCTTGAGAAGCGCTACACCAGAAATCAGGAGCTGCGAATCAAGTACGCAGGCCAGCCTGACAAGTACGACCTCCCCATCTCTTGCCCCACGCTCCACTTGGTGCTCAGACTCCTTGGCACATACCGAACGTGCGCCCACGTGACAACAAAGGTTCTTGGAGTCGGAGGTTGATCTCGACGTAGCGATCAAGGAGCTGCACGTGCTGGCCACCGCGCCCGGCCTCTACGGCGACTTCGTCAAGCTGAACGCAGTCCGCACTCTTGGCAAGTCGCAGCCCCTGTCCCTTTACTCTGCAGGCTTTCAGTGTTCTGACTTTCCTTTTGCATGGTGTCATGGTCATCGCTGCAGTGAGCCTGCTGCAGCACGAAAACAACGACATCATGGTGGACACAATCAACCTGCTCCACGAGCTCACGCAATCCAACGAGGGCGCGGCCGACGAAGCCGAAGACGAAGAAAGCGATGCGTACCTTCTTCACGAGGCCTTCATCGTACGATGATTCCCCAGTGAACGCGTTGCCTTGCGTCGATGCAACGCTGACGACACACACACACACCGACACACACACCGACACACACACACACGCCGACACACACACACACACACACACACACACACTTGTGGCATGGCAATGTGTGCAGCAACAAGAAGGCGGACTGGACATTCTGCTGAGCAATCTGGACCGCCTGGACGAGAAGATCGACGAGGAGAGGCAGGGCGTTTACAACATGATGGGCATCCTGGAGAACGTATCAGAGGTGATGCCCGAGATCGGCGTCATGGCCATGAAGAACGACGTGTGGCGAAAGTGGGTCCTGCGCAGGTACACGCCTGCCCGCCTCTGCCCTACCACCCTTGTGTGTGTGTGTGTGTGGTGTGTGTGTGATGCGACTAAGACTTTTTGTTTTGCAACCCAACAATTACAGAATGAAGGAAGACGGGTTTGACGACAACAAGGCCTACGCCAGCGAGATCGTCTCCATTCTCCTCCAGAACTCGCCCGAGAGCCGTAAGCTCTTCACCGAGGCCAACGGCATCGACACACTTCTCCTCTGCCTTGCGGTACTATTATCATTTATTATTTATTTATTATTTATTATTGAATTCAATTCTTATATTTTTTTACAATTATTACTTATTTAATTAACAATTATATTTTGTTTACTGGTGCAGCCGTACAGAAAAACGGACCCGCCAACTGCGGACGAGGAGGAGTACGTCGAGAACCTCTTCAACTCGCTCTGCACGTGCCTCATGTCCAACGAAAATAAGCAAGTCTTCCGGAAGTCCCAGGGCCTCGAACTCATGCTCATCATGATCAAGTACTGCTACTCGCTGCCGCTGCATCTACCCACCCGGCAGTTCCATAACCGTTTGTGTGTGTGTGTGTGTGTGTGTGTGTGTGTCGTGTGTGTTGTGTGTGTGTGTGTGTGGTGTGTGTGTGGGTGTATGTGGTGTGCAGGTCGAAGAAGTTCCCGAGGAAGTCGGCGCTCAAGGTGGTGGACTTTGCGCTGGCCGGCAACGAGGAAAATTGCAAATATTTTGTGGACATCCTGGGCCTCAAGACCCTCTTCGCCGCCTTCATGAAGAAGGGCGCCAAGAAGGGCCGCTCCGGCTTCAACGAACTGGCCGACGACGGTACCCAACCACCCACCCTGCAATTGTCAACGCAGCGTCTGACACGCACCACCGCACCACCGCACACGCACGCGCACACACGCACGAACGCACACAGAACACATCGCGGCGGCGATCGCTTCGCTGTTCAAGAGCCTGGCGGCTGCTGGGGGTGAGCCCTACACGCGGCTGCTGGGCAAGTTCCAGGAGAGCAACTACCAGAAGATCGAGAGGCTGCTGGAGCTGCACGCCAAGTATGCCAAGAAGTCGGCCGCGTTCGACGCGCAGGTCGAGGCCGAGATGGAGGCCCGGCGGGCCAGAGGCGAGGAGCTCACCGAACTCGACGAGGAGTACTACCTCTCGCTCAGGCTGGACGAAGGTCATCTGTTCACGCTTCAGTTGATCGACTACATCATTGCTGCCGTCGCCACCTCGCCTCTTGAAGGGGTACGCTCATCCGTGTGCTGCTGTCGCTCGCCATTCGCAATTCTGACGACGCACACGCACACGCACACGCACACGCACACGCACACGCACACGCACACGCACACGCACACGCACACGCACCACGCACACGCACACGCACCACCGCACACGCACACGCACCACCGCACACGCACACGTACCACCGCACACGCACACGCACACGCACCATCGCACACACATGCAGGCCAATGCGTACATCAAGCAGCTGTTGAAGCAGCAGGGAGGTTCGCTGGAAAAGGTGAAGGAGGTGCTGGCCACCTACGCGAAGTCCATCGGCTCGTCGGGCACCGACACCAGCAGCGGCGCGGCCGACGACGGCGACGCCACCACGGACAGGGAGCGGGCCAACATCCGCCAACTCATCGAGCGGCTCGAGTAGTGAGTAGCTGGCCGATGACCGCCATGCCCATGTTCCCTCATTGATCTACATAAAGCAAGCCGAGTTCTTGGGTTTGGTGACTAAGGCACGACACGCACCGCACACGCACAAGTTTCCATTCCCGAACAATCCACATAGCGCACCAATTATTGTTGGGTGGTGACGACGTCGTCATGTTCGGTGCCCAGCGAGAGGTCCTTCCACTCTTCGAGCTCCTTGAGCTGCGACTCGCACTTGGCCTTGATGCCCTCGTAGGCGTCCTGGCCGAGGGCCAGCCGCACCGGCACCTGACTGCGGCCCTTGGCCGAGCCCGACAGCGTGAGCACGTCGACGATGAGCTGAGCGGCCTTGACCGGGTCGCCCGGCTGCTTGCCATCGACCGCCGCATGGTGGGCTATGGCTGCGGCCGCCGGCGTCTTGTCGTAGTCGGCGATGTGCTGCGCGGCGATGAATGTGTTGGTGCCCTGGTTGAGCAGCGGCCGTGCGGAAGTAGCCGGGCTCGATGATGGTGACGGCGATGCCCAGCGGGGCCACTTCGTCGCGCAGCGCCTCGGCCAGGCCCTCCAGGGCGAACTTGGTCGCGCAGTAGAGGCCCACGCCGGGAGCGCCACCGCGGCCGGCCATGCTGCCGATGAGTGCGATCACGCCGCTCCGGCGGGCGCGCATGTGTGGCAGAAAGGCCCGGGTCACGTTAAGCAGCCCAAAAACGTTCGTGTTGAACTGCGCGTATGTCTCCTCAGGGCTAGTCGTGTCGTGTTGAGTGTCGTGGGCGCCGTGCATGGCGTGAGTTGCGTGCAATGACACGACACACGAGACACAGCAATGGGGTACCTGGCGGCTTCGATGACGCCCTGGAGCACGTAGGCGGCGTTGTTGACCAGCACGTCGATGCGGCCGTAGACGGCGACGGCCTGGTCGGCCAGAGACTGGAGCTCAGCGAGCGGGCGGGTGACGTCCAACTGCAGCGGGTGCGCGCCGGCCTCCACAAGCGCTGAGAGCTTGGCCGGCGTGCGCGCGGTGGCGATCACCTTGTCGCCGCGCTTGAGTGCGGCCAGCGTCAGCTCCTTACCGAAGCCGGTCGAGCAGCCCGTGATGAGCCACACCTTCTCAGTTGTGTTGGTGTTGGTGTTGATCGACATGGGGATGTGTTGCGTAGATGTAGTGAGCTGATGAGACAAGTGCGCGAATTTGTATGTGGGTCCTGATCGTTGTCGGCGATAACGAACATGTTGCACACACATGAGCTAATGGACAAAATTGGATTGGCTCCTTCGGCAGAAGAAATTTAGGAGAAAATAAAAACCATGAGAAACCTTGCGCCAATTACAACGCGGCATTCGGCCGTAAAGAGCAAATCGGAGAATAAATCATGTTTTTTTGAAGTGGGGTACACTGGAAGGTCCCTGGAAGGTCTGCTTGTCGAAGAGGGAGAGGGTGAGGTTGGCCAGGAAGGCCGGTATCGAGTGGCATCGGCTGAGGAACGCCTGCACCTCCACGTCCAGCGTACTATGTATTGTTGTGTGCGCACGCGTGAGTTTGGCGCGACACACGGCACACACGGCACACACGACACTAAAGGAATGGAGCGCACCAGGAGAAGTCGGTGGCCATCAGCTCGAGACCGCTGCTCTTGGCGGTCTTCTGGAAGACGAGCTCGTCGACCTCCTTCTCGGCGTACATGGACTTGAGCCGGTAGCGCTTGACCGACCGCTCCTCGGTGTAGTCCACGCGCCAGCCGAACAGCTGGTTCACCGTCTCTCGGAACTCGCGCGTCTTGTCCTTGAAGATCTTCATCAGCCGCTTGTTGGTCACCTCGTTGTCCTTGGCCTGCTGCTTCAACACCTCATTCTCCTCTGCGGATTGTGTGTGTGTGTGTGTGTGTGTGTGTGTGTGTGTGTGTGTGTGTGTGTGTCGTGTGTGTGTGTGTGTGTGCGTGTGCGTGTGCGTGTGCGTGTGCGTGTGCGTGTGCGTGTGCGTGCCATAGGCAATGTTAGTCGGGGTGTGCGTGGTGGATGCGGCAACGAGTGACGTGGTGCGCAAACCTTGGAGGATCTTAAGCCGGAGGGCTTCGGCGGCACTGAGCCGGGGGTTGCTGGGCTTGGGTTGTTGGTTCTCGTCTTCCTCTTCCTCGTCCTCGTCCTCCAGTTCCATCCTCGCCGTGCTGCCGCCTTCCTTCAGCTCGCGCTTGATCTCGAACAGCTGGTCCCGCAGCGCGTTGTTCTCCTCCCGCAGCAATTCCTGGTGTGTGTGGTGAATAAGTAACCGCACGACAAACACAACACACACGGCAAACACAACGCACAACGCACCACTTCGGAGTTTTTTTCCGGGCCAGTGCGGTGGGGTTGTTTGTCATGTGCAGGATCTGTGGCAAGCCACCTGCAGTTAGGCGCGCGTCCCATCGCACACACACGCACACGCACACACGCACACACGAGGTGGTACCTTGGTGGTGGCGGGGTTGTAGTCGCCCTTGCCCAGTCGCAGTTCGTAGGTGGCCAGCTCACCGCCGAGCTTGGCGATCTCGGCCGCCAGCTTCTCGTTGGCCTGACGGAGCGCTTCGTTCTCGCTCTTCAGCGAAGCCGCCACCGCGCCATCGTCTTCCTCTTCTGTCTCAGTGCGAGGAAAAAGCAAAGTGAGTCGTGTGTCGTGTCGTGTGTCGTGTTGCGTCGTGTCGTGTGTCGTGTGTCGTGTGTCGTGTATCGTGTCGTGCACTGAGGGAATAAAGGGTACGCTTCTCCGTAGGCGTCGCTGGCTGCTGAGGCTGAGCGTTGGAGAGGGAGAGGATCATTGCCTTGCTGCGGTCGAGTTCGCCCTGCAGCTTGGCCACGAATTCCTCCTGTCGCTGCAGCTGGTCCTCGAGAGTGGCGATCCGCTCTGCCTCCGCCCCAACACACACAACACATACACACAACACAACAATATACCTCATCAGGAACCAAAGCTGCGCACATGGCATATATAAAAATGTTGCAAAAGGGTCGTACCATCCTTGGCCTTGTCATAGTCCTTGTCTTGGATGTCCCGGTCGTACGTTTCCTGATGAGCGTTGCTTGCGTCAGAGCTTGCTCTACCCGACCACCTCACCACATAACAAAAAAGATAGATGCAGTTCGGCCGGTTCGTACGAGAAGGTCGCGATAGCTGATCTTGTCCTTGCGGAGGATGTTGAGCTCCAGCTCTTGCCTCGCGTTCTTTTCCTGTTATTTCAAGATAAATAAATACATATATACAGAATAAATAAATAAATAAATGGGAGAGCAGCAAGAGTGCGCACGCACCGTTACGGTGTCCAGCTCGCGGCGGTACTTTTCCGCCTCCTTGCGGGCGTCCGCAGCGCGGACCTCGTGCGTCCTGGCGACGTTCTGCGCCCGCTTCGCGTCGGCCGTCAGTTGACCGCATTTCTCGACCAGGCTTTCTGCACACGCACACGCACACGCACACGCACACGCACACGCACACGCACACGCACACGCACACGCACACGCACACGCACACGCACACGCACCAACGACTGTAAGTGAAAGTTGACTATGATGCGCAGGTGGGAATCCCACGAACCGTTCTTCCTTTGCAGGTCCTCGACAATGCCGGCAATGTGAGCCGCGGACTCGAACTGCTTCAGATCCCCGAAGTAGCTCTCCCTTGCGAGAGAAGAGAGAAAGCGCGCACGTGAGTAGTTGTCGCTGTGTCGAGCGTAAAGGCAAAGTCAGAGCGAGGGCCCGTGTGCGGCATGGCATACCACTTGGCGGTCTGCTTGAGCAGATTTTCGTGCTCCACCTGAAGCTGCGACTGCGCCTCCAGATCCCTCCTCGCTCGCTCGTACTTGGCAGTGAGTCGTTCGATTTCGTCCTGGAGGATCTGTGAGTTCTGCATCCGCTGGCGCAGCTGCTTGTTTTCGGCCTCCACCGCCTTGCATTTGTTCTCTAACTCGACCATGCGGCCGATCTCCTCTGTAGCGTCGAGCGGAGAGTCAGCATTCGCCGACAAAGCAAGTAGCACGCACGCACGCACGCACGCACGCACGCACGCACGCACGCACGCACGCACGCACGCGGGGGAAAGAAGAGCAAACCTTGCATGGCCTCCATGAGGGACGCAGTCTCGGCGTTGAATTCTGAAGCGCTGGAAAGCACCTGCAGACGTTCCTGCGCCTTGGCCAGCTCGTCCTTGAGTCGAATGACGGTCTCCGCTTCGTCGTGCACTTCGCTAAGCTGCCTCGTGAGCAACTCCGCCTGTGCCAATTACCGCCACCCCACCGTCCCAGTCAGATGGGCATCCGTGCGGATCTAGAGAGTCATCGCGCAGTACCTGCTTCGTAAGCGCCTCGTTCTCGGCCTTGAGCGTCTCCTCGGCCTGTGTCGCCTTGTGGATCTGTTTTTGTATATATGGCCCGGGGGTGATCGCGACGTGTGAGTGGTGAAGTGCGTATAGGAGTTGTGGGCACTCTGAGTTTGTTTACCCGATTTTCGAGTTGCGTCTTGGTGGTCTTGGCGTTGAGCTGCTCCTCGGCCAGCTCTTCACTCAGCGTCAGCTTGGTCTTCTCGAGTTCGCTCACCCGCTTCTCCAGCGCCTCTTTGGTGGCCTGTGGGAGGGAACGTGGGGTGTGTGTGGTCGGTCAGGCCAATCCACCTTAGTGTCCAAAAGGCCAGTCGACAAGAGCTCAGTACCTTGAGCTCTTTGACTTCGGCCGGGTTGGCCGCGAGCGCGGACGTGGGCGAAGCCATGCCTGCGGACGGGCGCATCAGGATCTGTGCCTTCTCCCTCTCCTTGCGCAGCTCCCACTCCTTCCTGTTCATCTCGCTCTCCTTCTCCAAGCGAAGCTGCATCGTGCCCATGCCGCACATGTGTGAGTCTTGATCATTCAGGGGGAAGCAAGTGCTACGAGCCATCACACTGAAGGTGCCGCATGACGCACCTTGGTCCATTCCCACTCCTTCCGCTGGAGGTCCTCTTCGGCAGCGCGTGCCTTGTCCTGCGCGCGCTTCAGCTCGGCCTCTGTAAGCGCAGAGGCAGCAGGCTCATTCAGTACGCGGTGTTGCGATGTGTGATCATCAAGGTGGCCACAGTCCAGAGCAAGGAAGAGCGCGGCGTACTCAGTTTCATGACAGCATCGCTTGTGCTTGCGGCCACGGGCGGCGCACGCGAAGTTGCCAGCTGCTGCCTCAGTCGTTTAATCTCGGCCTCCTGCTGCTCTATTGTTTGCAGAGCTTCCACCTGTGCAGGTGTCGCATGACGGCAAATGTAAGCAATCGCAATTCTTTCGATGTAGTGAAATGAATCGGTGCAGCAGTACGAGATGAGGTGTCTCGATAGGAGCGGAGGGAGCAAGTGGACGAAGGGCACGCGAAAGTTTCGAGCCGACGTGGGCAAAGGCATCAGCGCTCCGTGGATTGCCAGGATCGCTTACTTCTTCGTCGTTATGAATGGAAAAAGACGAACGGGTGCCCCGTCCACGAATTGGCGACGGTGCTCGAAATTCCTCCTCTTCCATCTCCTCCTCTCCTCCCTCTTGCTCGGCCTCTTCATCTTCGCCGCGCCTCCTCTTCCGCTGCCCCTCCATCTTCGTGTGCCCATGGACAAAACGATTCCCGCCAAATCACCATTCTGAAACTTTCGTTTCATACTCGCAAATTTTTACGTTTTCGTTTCGGTCTCTGTTTGCAGCTCACGCAGCGAAGAGGGGCGCGAGGGCGTGAAGCTGTCGTGCGGCCTCCTCAGCTGTCGTGGAATGACCAGGCCAGAGCATGTGCTGGGGCACAACCACGCCATCGATTTCTCTGTTGTAGTTGTGGTTGTTGTTAATGCAGTAGCCCTGAGAAGTTGAATCGCTACCGGGCCGAGAGGAGGCGGACGTACTGCCAGAGCAGGTGCTCGTTTGATGATTCTTGTTCCATGGCGTCGGCCCGCATCATCGTGGCGATGTCCTTTTGCTGCTTCTGTATCACCCGCGAGGCGACGGGGTGCAGCGCCGTGGTGATCATGCCCGCCGTATGCAGCTGCGCAGTTCAACCGACGGTTGACGCGTCAGTGATGAAGAAAGTTGAGAGTGTGGTGTGTGGTGTGTGTGAGTGTGTGTGTGCGTGAGTGTGTGTGTGTTAGAGGAACGGGGACCTCGCGCAGCAAGTCGATATAGCCCATGACCAGCGGAATGTTGACCGAACAGGCGAACTTGAGTAAGAGGGCTTCGATGGTGGTTGCGCCCATCACACTCGGCAGCCACCTCGGCTTGTGGCGGACGATCTTTTGTGTGTGTGTGTGTGTGTGTGTGTGTGTGTGTGTGTGTGTGTGTGTGTGTGTGTGTGTGATGCGCCAGGTCAGTAAGTGTGCGGTCCACTGCGGGGAAGACGGTACCATTGTGAGGAAGTGGATGTCGGGCAGCTGAAGCGGGGCTGCGGGTATCGAGGCGATGATGTTCTCCGTAAGGAATTGATTCCAGGGAAGCGTGCTAGGCGGCCCGCCCGCCTGCATTCTCGCTTCGACCGCCATCAGCTTGGACAGACACGCCACGCTCGCCAACTTGAACGTCTGTTCCTCCGCCAGTTGAACGTTGTTCTGGGCCAACACGATGCACTCGCGGATTTCCTCGTAGGTCGCGCTCTGGACCCAATCACGGTCAGCTGAGCGATCAAGCAATCTGTTGTGAACATGCGAGCACATACCGTCGTCGACCTATCGGCACTGGCCTCACCTTGCAGTGACAGGAAGGCCGACAGTCCATGACTAGCAAGCAAGCGAAGCAGCATGGAAGGGCCACGTTGATGTTGCTTGAACGTGGCCATCGACGCAGCGCATAGCAGCCGCTCGAGCTGTTGACCGAAAAATAGAGGTTATTCTGTCGGTTGCGCATAGTGTCGATGCGTGCGGATGGGTGGTGTGGTCGTACTGTCTTCGAATCCTGCCAGCGTGTACCGTGTACCAGGGCAAGCTTGGGCACGAGCTGCGTCCAGAAGGTCAGCGCCGCGACGGTCACAATGCCTCCGCTCAGAGACGTGCTCGTGGCCGCCAGTGAAGCACAGACGATTTCAATCAGCTTCTCCGCTTGCGCGACGCTGCACACCAGGGCTAATAGTAACAGCTTAAACGTTGTCGGAGAGTCACAGGAAAGTTGTGTTGTCGCGTACCTTCAGAATCTGGCTGACGGCCAGCCAAGAGAATGATCATGTTGCCCGCGTTGATGAGCATCAGCAACAGCTCGTCTGGCAGTTGACGCCTCGAGGCCTCCCTGGAGACAGTTTTCTTTGTTAGCCATGACCGAACGGCTAACTCACAGCTGATTGAACGAAAGTCGTGGGTTGGATACCTGGCGAGAAGGGCTACGACGTGAAGCGGCGAAGTCAAGGGCGCAGAGTGGTGCGCGTGGCGCAGGTGCTGGAGTGTGCAGAGGGCTGCCGCCGATAGCGATGCCGCGCTCCACTCCATTGCGCGGAAAGTCATCATCCTCTCGAGCGCAGGCATCAAACCGAGTGATGCAAACAGCCCTGTGGCATCGGGTGACTTGAAAAGGCAGGCTTGGACCAAGTGCAGTCCCTTGGTGGAAAGCTCATCGCAAGACGTCACCATGTCCTGTTGAAATTCACCATAGCACACGTGCACGCACAGGGCAACTTAGGTCCGTTTGTCTCTGCAGAGTAGAAAGCGACTGATTACACACCATCACCACTGCAGCGCCGTTTGAATCGTCGAGAATGATGTCCACCCATTCAGCCAAGGTGTACGAGGCGTCGGAAGTATCCGATATCCATAGCAGCATCTTGCGTAGGGTTCCCTAATCAGAAATACGCTTGTGTGGCCCGGTGTTGCTAACGAAGGAACGAGGTACCTGATTCCGATTGTAGTCACGCAACTCTGGGTTTTGCCAAAGCCACTTGATCACAGCGACCGGCGGCTTTCTCGCCATCTGGTGGCAAGTAGACAGGATCGCTCGTGTCAATGTGCGGCCATTCTCGCTCATCAGTCCGTGTGCCCGCGATTGAGCCACCTAGGGGAGGAGGGAACGCGTTAATTCAGCGCATGAATTCTCCCTCACATGTGGCCGAGAGAGGTCTTCAGTGTACTGTACTGAAACGAGAAACGTGAGCACGTGGAAGGCATCAGGAGGTATTTGGTCGAAGTCGGGGTGTGAGCGGAAGAATGTTTGAAGCGCCGAATCTACACGTTCTACGTCCACGACTCTGGCGCAGCCGATGAAGAAAGATGTAAGAGGCGGTGACAGCTACAGAAGAGAAATAACGCGGTTTCAGACTGAACCTGTCGCCAGCGTGCACGGCCGAATAGAACAGCGCGAGGATTGTCAGTTGTAACTCGAGATCGCGCGACCTCTCCGTCATAACCACGGACATCGCTTCGACGTTTTCTGAACCGCAAATGAAATGGCGTGAGATGAGAGGTAGCATAGACATGAACTGGAAAGGTATCAAACCTGGCAGACGGGGCACAGACCGCCTGTAGACTTCCTCCAATGCTGATGACGCCGTGGTGTTGGTCGCGGAAAGAATAAGCGCCAGCAGAAACTGATCGGCCAGCGCCACAATCGTCGGCTCCCCTTGTACTCGACTCCGTAGGCTCAGGGCTTTCGTAAACGCGCTCGCGCCTGGTGGAATAGAGCATTGCTCAGTGATCAGTAAGAGAGAATGAATAGTAGAACACAGCGAAGGCGGAAGAAGGAGTACCCATCAAGGCCTTCACTCTGTCCAGGTGGCATGGTGTTGCGAGAAGAAGCAAACGTAGCACCATGGCGAGCAGGGCGTGAGAAGACAGCTGGTCCCACCTGGCCTGGTAATAAAAGATTGCCTTTTAGCTTGATTATTCTTGGCGGTCAACTTCAGGGTACTGGTACCAGTATCAAAGGGAGCATCTTCTCGACGAACAGTAGAAAGAGTTGCTTTGTTGATGGTTCGTACGCCGGCGATGGGGTGCACTTGGCAGTCACGTACAGCACAGCGTGCAGATAGTGCTTAAAGTTGTGAAAGATATTAGCCATCTGGTGATAAGCACCATGAGAATACTACGCACGTACCTGGTCCATACTGTCAGTCGCAACACAGGCTCGAAGCCTATCAACCGCTTCTTCGAGGCAAGCAAGCGTTACCGGTTGTACATCCTCTCGCTTGTTGATTGAAGCACCTACCCAACCAAGCAGCGATTGAGGCTCAGGTACTAAACAACAAAGGGTAAAGGAGGAAGTACAATCGACCAACTCCGCCAGGACGAGACAAGCGAGCGGCGCTACGTCTGGCTCCTCCCGGCAGATGCCGCGATTGATGCAGTTGGCCACGATAGCTAGACTCTCGCTTTTCAGCTTGCTTGAGCACGAGGCCAGCAACTTCAGCAGAAGTCGCAAGCCTTCCTGCGGCAGTCGCTCGATCGCCTCGTGAAGCACTTCGATGAGCGCATCGAAACCTTTGGGCCGCCGCAATGTACAAGAGGTTAAACAGTGCGTGAGCAACTTGGATGCACCCCACCCAATCGAGAGAGGGGATTGTACCGAACTGTACGTAGGAGCCGAATGAAGGGTGGTCCGAAAACAGTGTGAGAACGCCAATGCTTGAGCCCAGCACGAGCCCTGACGCCCCACACGACGCCTCGATAACAAAGTCTGTAACCACCACGATGAACACATGCTCAATGGTGGCTGATTGCCCAAAAGAAAGCTGGTACGTGCCAGCGATTCCCTCATCGAGATAGAAGGCCACGGTCTCCGGCGAGCCTGTGCATACTCTCGCGATGACTTGCATCGTGAGCGCTCGCAGCGGTTCGTGTGACGAGAGCAGCCGGGGCTTCAGAGCTTTAACCAAGTGGCCTCTCTCGACAACCGAGCTGCCCCGCACAATATCCAAACCGGCGCCCCCTGCCAGAGCGTGCAGCAGCGCTGTGCTTGTTCCACAAGAGTGAATGAGTATATGAGTGAACAGGCCACAATGAGTGAGCTCGTACCGATTGCGTTCGTGTGTACGCCGTCGCTTTGCGACTTGGAGAGGAGCTCCACGACTGAGCACACCAAGCGCGCACCGCAGAGACTCATCAATCGCTCCCTTGCACTATCAACCGAGGCCAGGTTGAGCAGTACCTTGAGAAATGGTATAGGTGAGTCTCAAGGGAGCATCAAACCCTTGCTAGCTCTCGGACCTACGTACAAAGGTGCAAGTCGTGCGGGTGTCCTCGTCGGGATAGGAAAGAGCGCCCAGGAGGTGTTCAATCAAGGGTCCATAGGACTGCATCAGAAGTTCAGCGATCGAAGAATCACACACCAGGCGACCCAGGAGCACGAGCACATATCGGGCTTGCTTCCACGTCAACGTTTGAAGCTGCACCGGTGGTACTGAGTGAGCAGGAGTTACTGGAACAAGAACAGACAGGTGCGCAGTCATCCATAATTACAAGAGCACAAGCAAACCTGAAAGCGGATGCTGTCGATACACGCGGACTTATCAGTCGTTTGGCCCTGTAGCAGCGCAGCGAGCTCGAGAACGGTGCGTGCCAGGGCGTCATCCGCAACGCCCAGTACTGGTGCCACCATGGATTCCGTCGTGAGTTTACCATTGGGGGGGGGCTACTGGAAGAAAGTTGTGTACCTTGCGCACAGAAGGCGAGGCTGGTGCTGGCGAGGCCGTGGGTGGATAGAAAGTCGGAGGCTTCATCCATCGAGCTCAAGACCTACATGATGGTGGAGGCGACGTGTAGCGAAAGCAAAGATTATATTTCTGAAGCATGTAGGAAGGTGCAGTGGAGTGGCAAGGCAAGGGGAGCATACCTTCAGCATCTCGAGGGCGATGGCACGCTTCCTGATGGTGAGCTGCTTCGAGTCGAGTAGCACCTCCCAAGCGCAGGCAAAGCAGAAACCGTAGCCCTCGGCATCAGCCAGCGTGAAGGTGACGTGCCTCGGGTCGGTGTGGTGGCCCTCGCCCACCAGACCTTCTCCATGTAGCGCCACGTTAGCATTCTTCGTCGTCTTTGAGCGTGAAGAATCACGACTCGTACCGCTCAGCACGGGCGAAACGGGACGAGGTCCTTGCATGATCTTCTACTTCTTCTGCTCTTGTGTCAACAACGCGCTACTCAGTCCCGCGAGAAGCGGGCGTGTTGGGCGTGTCGACAAGACAAAGAGCGAAAAGCGAGGTTTCATTTTGATAATCTCAGAGTTACATCGTCCTCAATGGGAAGGCTTTGGATGCAGCTCTTCATTGGTGAAACCTTCGGGGGGGAATAGAGGCAAGTACCAGATTATGGCTGCGATGATCGATGTGATTGTAGCATTTGGACCACAGCAGGGCCAGTAGGGTACTTGTCGCGAAGATTACGGCTGCTCTTGTAGGCAGCTTCACCCGAGAAGATCACAGTGCCATCTTCAAGCGTTATTTCAAACTTTTCCGTCGTTCCCTCCTGGGATGGGAGATTAGATGAAAGTAAGGGACTTCGAAGTCTAAGAGTGCGATTTCCAACCTTGGCCACCACTTGGATGTCAGGGAAGGCTTTCTCGACTGCCAGCTTGATGGTCTTGAAGAAGGCATACCGACCTCAAGCATTACTGTTTTGTGTATTATTTTGTTTGCTCATCTTTCAAACCAATCAACGTCAAAATCCACGAAGACGGTAGGGTACCAATACTCAACGAGGACCTTCATATCTTCGATAACGGTGATCCAAGGAAGGCACAAAGGTTTTGGCTTTTCGTCCCCAAAATAAAAACAAATTAAAAATAAAACAAATTAAAAAAGAGACTTGTAGCCGCTCGGCGGCGTTCCGACAGCCACAAGGGCAAGCAGCAAGAGCATCGACAGGCGAAACCTGAATTGGGCGGCTCACTGGGTTGTTCTAACTCTAGTTCGTTCTTAAATTCACCAACGCTGTCGAACTTCAGCAGAAGACGTGCACAATGTCGGTGGTGCCCCGGCCAAAGGTCTCGGGGGAGTACATCTCCTCCACCTGCACGTACATCGATGTGTAGTAATGGTTGAGTGTGTGAGTGCGCCTGATGTATTGGCTCCTTCTTCTTGGAGGGTTAGGGGCACCTTGGGCGGAGGGGCGATGAAGACGCCCAGAGTCGTGGCGCGCGTGAGGTAGGTGTACTCGTAGACGCCCGGCGCCAGGTACGCGGTGAAGGCCTCGCAGCGATCGTCCTTGAGCTCCTGGTGATCGAACCACCTGCCCTCCCAGCCCGTCAAGAGCCCGACCGCATAGCCGCGGCCGAGGGCGAGCAGTTCGAGGAGGATGGCCTTGCGGCTGTTGTTGCTCTGTTGCGTGTAGTCATCACCGGCTTGCTTGAGGTCGGGATTGAGCGGCTCCAAGCCGGCGGGCAGCATGTCCTGTGCAGGGTGCGTGTGCGCAATGGCGAGGTGTGAACGTCGTTGGGCGCCAGACCATTGAGAAGCATTCTAAAGGGGGGGGAGCGATAGAAGGCGTGGTACCTTGAGAGCGACATGGTGGCGCACCAGCTGAGTGGTGACAACGAGGCGCACACGTACTCTGGCTCCCGCGCGAACCTTGATGCTGCCGTCGGCACCCACATCGACCCTGTGCAGTGCGGTCACAATGGAGGAGTGAGCATGACTTCGCAATGTGTCGCGGGCGTGCCGTGCGTACTCTGACGGGTCGTCGACGCTTTCGTAGACGCGCTTGATAGAGAAACCGCGGCTCAGCGCCGGAAGATCGTGCAGCGACGGCGCATAGTTCATCGCTGCGCGCGGCGCCATATGGTTGACATGTTAGTCAGCGGGGTGCGAACACAAAGAGCGGGAATTGGCGCGTACCGATGCGGTAGTAGAGCTTGCCTTGGCCCCGCTTCTTGATGACTAGATCCATGCCGTCCTTCTGCACGCCCTCGGGGCCGGCGGCCTCCAATTCGAATTGCTTGGCCAGGAGCGCGCTCATGGGCACCGACATGGATTGTCTGTGGGCCGAGCGGCCTCTGAACTCCTGACGACCCAGATAGCCGTCCTCGACCCTGCATACACAAGCGCACGGGAATTGGTTGAGAGAAGCCCGCGGCCGTTAAGCATCATAATCACCAGTAACTGGTACAATACCAGAAGCGGGCGTCGAAGTCCGGGCGGTGCTTCTCTTGGGTCTCGAAGTACTGGGCGAAGGCCATGAGCACCCACACATTCTGAGGTGAGGGAAAAAGCATGAGCGAAACGAGCAGGAAACGAGCAGGAAACGAGCACAAATGGCGCTTGAGGTGGATTGCGGGGGGGGGACGTAGGCAGACCTCCTGGGTGCTGTTCCAGGCGCCCTTCCTCTTGGCCTCCTGCAGGCTGCGGGCCAGCTTGGGTATCAAGGGGTTGGTGGGATCCACCGCAATGAGGGTCGACATGAGGATAGCGTCCACCCTGCTCTCACCCGCCCACGGTGGGCGATTGGCCCCATCAGCATGTGCGTGCGTGCGTGCGTGCGTGCGTGCGTGCGTGCGTGCGTGCGTGCGTGCGTGCGTGCGTACTTGCGAGAAGAATGGAGCACGAGGTAGTTGTAGTCATTCGAGTAGCTGGTCGCAAAGTGTGCCCCGGTGGCCGTCTCCACTGCGAGATTGTTGATCTCGTGCAGGACCAACGTGACCGGGCTGGGCGGCTGCTCGCTGGGCTTCTCGTCGGTCTCCTGCAGCTCCATGTCCTCGGGCATCGTGTTCAGCAGAAGCTGCAGCTTGACCAGCGACACCTGGAGGCGGGCCTCCCGCTGGAAGCTGTTGTCGAGGTCCTCGCCCGTCCAGTCCAGCCCGCCCAGCAGGATCTCGTTCCGGGCGGTCTCGATCTCCTCCAGCGCGCGGTCGGTCTTGGCGATGCTGGCCTCCACCTCGGCGCGCGTCTTGGGCAGCGCCTCGCCCTTCCCTTCGTGTCGACGGGCGGCCTTGCGCTCCTCCTCGTGCACGATGGGCAGGACCATGGCCATGGCCTCGAGCGGCAGCTTGCCCAGGCCCTTGGCAAACAGGCGACGGGCGTGGTGAAGATAGGTGGCCTTCTCCGAACGGAAGAACTTGTGCAGCAGGAACTGTTGGTTCGATGGATCGTCAAAGTAAGCGGCGGCGGCGACGACTTCATAAAATGAAAGGAGGAGCTGTGTGCGGTACCACTGCGTAGGCTTGGATGGTGTAGCGCGCGCTGGCCGAGTAGAAGGCCGGGATGGGGTGCGGCTCAACAGTCGGCTGGCGGCCGAACCTACGCAAGTGAGGGTTGGGGCATCAGCATGCACCACGACACGGCGCACTTGTGCAGTCGTACAACGAGAGGGGACTGTGGGAGAGAAAGAAGGAGGACCCGTACCTCGGCTGCGGCTGATTGGCCTTCGCGTCCTGCTTAGCTTGCCACTCCTTCCTGCTCACCAGGAGGCTCTTGACGTAGGCCAGCGTCTTGTCTGTGACCTGCTGTTCGAACTGGAACCGGACCTTCTCGACCAGGAACATGGCGTGCGCCGCGTGCAGCTGAAAACAAACACCACCCACCACCAGGCAGGGCCACGTCAGCGTCAAATAATAATAAAGGCGACGCAGCGAGGATTGGGTGGCGTACGCTGACGAAGGGCCAAGATGGATTTTCCTTGCTGGCGGAATCGCTGTAATCGTAGGGGCTGGACTTAGTGCCGGGCCAGAAGCCAAAGCCGCCGTCGTTGTTCTGCATCTTGAGCAGCTTCCGGGCGTCCTTGGCCACCTTCTTCAGCAGCTCGCGCTGGTTGACGCCAGCGAACACATCGCGGAAGGCCTGGAGCAGCGGCTCGAACACCAGGCTGCTGATGATACGAGACGAGATCTGCTCGCTGCATTCGTACTCGTAGGAGTAGAGGTAGTGGAAGGCGTCGGAGAGCGAGGTGAGCATGGTCGACGACGCCGTAACCTCGAGCCCACCGAAGCGATCGTGGACGTTGGCCGGCGGCTTGATCAGCTGTACCAGTTCCCTGCCCTCCAGCTCGCCTACGAGTGGAATGGAAGGAATGTTAGTATTGTGCGAATTCCAGCCAGGACTGCTTGTTGTGTGACGGGTACCGCAGGTGGCAAAGGTCTCGACCACGGCCGGCTCCTTGAGGGCGATAACGATCCGAGCCGCGTCGTTCTCGGCTCCGAACACGCTCTGGCGCCCGGTCATGGCCACGGCCTCCACCGTCGCCTCCTTCCCCACGACCGACGCCGCGATCGGGAACAGCACCTCGGCCCTTAAATTGCCTTAAGTGAGCGAAGCGGCTTGCGATGAAGAGTGAGCAACGAGTGGCGGCTTTTGCACCTGTTGTTGGCTTCGACTCGCACGCACTTGCCGTGGGCGCCGAGGATCTCGAGATTGTGCACACGCAGAGCCACCCGCACGTCCACCGGCTCGTCGGTCACGTTGTGCACCACAAACGATTGCGAGTACTGCGGCGACACAAGCCATAGGCCATCAGCCCCACCTGCTCCGTCCGCCCCAAGCGGCCACAACCTCAAGGAGCGTACCTTGTCGCCCAAAGAAAGGAAGCGGGGAGGAGAGGGGCGCAGCATGATGGGCAGCCGGGCCGTGATCGCCGACTCGGCGACGCCGAAACGATTGTCGTGCACAGCGATGGCGATAATGCGATACCTGCCGAGAAACACAACACACCAATCGGACAACATGAGCGAGCGCCTACTCAGGCGACGTGGCATTAACAGATCAGAATAACGTACCGGGTGAGGTTGTCGGGCAGCGCGAAGGAGACGCGGACGCGCCCAGTGTCGCTGGGGACCAGATCGGGACGGAACACCGCCAGCGGGCGGAAGTCCTCTCGCTTATAGACCGCTCGCGGCATCATCGAGGGATCACCACCGCCCCTGCTCGTGTGGCGAGATGAGGTGAGTGCGGCACATAAGGCGGTGTGTGTGTGTGTGTGTGTGTGTGTGTGTGTGTGTGTGTGTGTGTGTGTGTGTGGCCACGAACCGCAGCCTGAGCACGAGGTGGAGCGTGCTCTCCGGTTGGATGTTGTAGTCGCCGAGCGTGCAGCCGTCCTCGAGCTGCTTGCCAGCGAAGATGATGCGCTGCTGGTCGGGCGGGATGCCCTCCATGTCCTGGATGACGTTCTTCAGATCCTCCAGGGTAAACCACGACGCCACCCTTACATCACAGATGTCGCACAATTACGGCTATGTCAGCGCACACCGCACAAGTTCCACCCCACCGCAGTTAACTGCTGGATGACATGCGGTGATGTGGTACCCGATGGTCAGGGTCTTTCCGGTGAGTGTCTTCACGAAAATGTCGAAGGTGACCATCGAGCCTTTCACCACCGAGCGAGACGACACCATCTGCTCTCGCACAGAAGACCAATGAAAGAAGGAACGGTCAGTTGGGCACAGGTGACATTGGAAAAAAACAAGGCGGGTTATGTACCTTGAAACACTTGTCCCTGTTCTGGTAGAAGGAGGCGATGGGGTCCTTGACCTTGTAGTCGCTGAGGAACAGCACGCTCTCGTCCACCGCGTAGAAGGTGCACTCGCAGCCCAGGTTGCCGCCGACCGGAGCGCCGGCGTGGTCGGTGATCATCACATCGACCGTTGCATTCGCCCTAGAGGGGGGGGGCGAAGACAGAAGGGTCAGAGAGGGCCGACCGATGCCACGAACAGACCAAAGACGCCCATGGGCGCACGCACCCAGGCTTATAGACGGTGGCGCTGGGCGTGATCTTGAGGCCCAGTCTGGCCTCCGCGGAGGAGACGCTCAGGAACAGGCTCGCTGGGGTGATATACGTAACGGAGGAGTCCTGATTGGGCACCAGGTTGACTTCCACGTGCACGCCTGCGGGCAATTACAAACACATAAAAAGAGGGGGATTTAAGGGGGCTTCAGGAGGGGCAGGTGGGTGCAGCCCAGACAAAGCGCTTACCGGGGTAGGACTCGGGGCCGAGAGGCACGGAGATTATCTGGGCCGGCGCGGTGATGGTGACGCGGGACACTTCGATCTTCCCGTGCTTGGCCACGCTGACGAGGCCTTCAGCAGGCCAGGTCGGCGAATGCACCAACACTCGCGCCGTTTCGCCTTTGTGGGGGGGGGCGTAATTTCGATTAGTGTTCTGATCGGCAGCAGCGACAGGCCTTGATAGGGGGCACAATGTACCTGGGCTGTATTCCTCCTTGTCGGCCAGCAGCTTGATCTTTTTCTCGGTCGACACCTTGGAGCCGGCGGAGGAGTGCGGGAAGACGATCCTGTTGAGGCCGGCGAATGCAAAGACGTTGATCTCCGTGTAGTTGGGACGTCCCTGCTCGTCCTCCTGTTGTGTGTTACATGCGCCAGTGAGCTCGGCCCGAGCGTCGTCGGTTAAAGAAGGCAAAGTGGGCAAAGTACGATGGAAGCGCTGATCAGAACGCGATCGCCTTCGAGCCACGGGCCGAAGTTGACCTCGAACCCCGACTTGCGCTCTTCATCATCAAACTGCAAGGTGACGCTCTGTTTCAGCTTTTGGCAAGTCTTTTGCTTCCACTCGAGCGTCTCGCCATCCTTCACCCTGCATATTTTTTTAAACCACTCACAATACCAATTAGCACCGCACACACGCACTACCGCACGTTGCAAAAGAAAACGCACCACTTCTTTTCAACAGCCTTGAGGTTGACCGTCACGCCCTGCTTACGCTCGCCGTCGATGTCGGTTACGGTCACGAAACAGCGGATGGCCTCGCCGGGTCCGTTGAGGACCATCGCGGCAGGCCGCAGGCCGACGTAGAGCGAGGAGGGGTGCAGCAAGATCTTTGAGTCTTTCGATAGCGACTGGCGGTTGACGTCCTTGAGGGTGGCAACGGCTGTGAGCGACATCGGCGCGGGCGTTTTGCTCTCCTGCTTGCCGGTGATCCTGTTTGTTGGGGGAAACAAGCGGCGTGAGAATAGACGAGCAACAGAACTCGAGGTTGGGGCAACACGCACTTGATTTGGTGAGTGCCATCACGAGCCGTGGAGCCCTTGTGCTGCCCCCCAGAACGAGGGAAGCCGGCGCTGGCATTGGAGTTGAATGTGAAGCCCTCCGTGTTCGGCGGCCGATAGGAGGCCGGCGCCCAACCAAGGCTCCACTCCACCTCAGCTCCAGGCAGCGCACCACCAGTGAAGTACCTGGTGTACCAGGTGGTGTTTGTCAGCCACTCGACGAAAAATGAAAATCGAAAGCTGGAAGATGTGCGCACTTGGCCTCGGCTTGTACGTTGAGCGGGTCCCCACAGATGTGCGGGCCGGCACCCAGCACCTTGGTGGCCAGCTCAAACTCGGGATTTCTGTGTGTGTGGCCACAGCAGGCAGTGTTGAGGATTTGGGGGGGGACAGAAGTGAGCGCCAGTTTGGTCGTACCTGAAGTGCTGAATGTCGACGTCGAGTTGGTGCTCAACGGTGAGGGTACGTCCAGACTGTGACAGGGTGCGCAGGAGAGTCGGAGAGAAGGCATTGGCGCTCTGTCATGACAGGGAACGATGAGAATTCGAAGATGGAGACAAGACCACAGACGGGCGAAGGACGGACCACTTGGGTGAACTTGAGCTTCGCCACGCCGAGCCTAAAGTCCTCCGGAATCTCCCACTCCAGGGAAAACGACCCCTGGTCCTCGTCGATCCTCGTCGAATGCATCGACACGTTTTGGTAGTGCGAATTGGCGATCGTCATCACCACCATTCCTGTTCATTGCAATGACCAATCAGCACATTGATAGTTATTCAAACACGCACCAGCACGCTCACGACATACGACACGATATGACTCGACACGAGACACAACGTATGGGTGCGCATACCGCCGATTTTCTTGAGGTCGCCGTTCTTCTTGAGCTTGCGAACCCAGCCCTTGACATGAACCACTTCGCCGGGGCGGTAGAGTCCCCGTTCCGAGATGACGTGGTACACCATGTCCTTCTCCCTCTTCGGCCAGTTGTATTGCTTGTCTTCGTTGATCGGGCACAGGCACGAGTCGTCGCCCTTGGTCACATAGATGGCCTTGATACCGGAGAGGTCGTACCGCGTACCTGCACAGATCGGGCGCAGAGTTTAGGGTGAGTCCTGGCGTGTACTGCGAGTGGGGCTTGCTGAGTGCGACGACCGACGTACGATCAATCGAGAGCAGACCGGATTCACTGGTGGTGCCGGCGGTCAAGTCACCGTTGGAGAAGACAAGGCGGATGCGGGCCTCCGCCTGCGGCTTGCGCTCGCTCAGCGACGTGACGAAGGTGTGGAGCGATGACAGATCTCCGATCACGTCGAGCGATAGGTCGGTGCGGCACAGCCAGGTCCAGCCCTGTCCCATAGAGGCGAGGTGGAGCCATCAGCCAGAGTCAAGTGGCGACGGTCGTGAATGCGCAGTGGTCGCGGTGGTTGGGAGCGCACCGTCTTGGGCGTAGCCTCAGGCTGCTGGGTGACCGTCGTTACCACAACCACGACGTTGGCACAGCCGCCAGCTCGCTCAAACACGGCTTCCAGATCGATCTCGGACAGTGTGCGCTTGTCTTCCTCCTGGAAAGAGTGATGTGAGCCCAAGCGAGTCCCGAAGGATCATGCGCAACACTCGGGGCAGGGCACGCACGGCGGTTATGGTCATGATCTGGTTGGCCAGGGGCTCCTTGTTGGCCCACGCTTCGCGCAAGTCGCTGATAGCCTTGAAGGCACGGTACTGCAGCCACTCCTTGGGGCTCACCCCGAAGGCTTCATAGCGGACTGCGGCCACGTTCGTCGTGGCCACAGTAAATCTGCCGCCCACCCCCACGACAGGTCAATTCTGTTTGGCTGGCACCAAATTGATTGCGCTTCCAAGGTCCGTACTTGGGCGTGAAGGACAGTGGGATGATGGAAAACTTGCCACTGCCGACCTGAAGAGCTTCCGCCTTGTGGGGAATTGTGACCGCGTAATCCTGCTCGACCGCCTCACCGCTCAATCGCTGTGGGCCGGCCAGGGTGAGGGAACAGTTGAGACTAGGCTAGTACATCTCCACAGAGGGAAGGGGCACATACCTGGCCCCAACGGTCGGTAATGTCAGGCGATAGCTTGATGGCGTAGGAACACCCAGGCCGCAACGTGCGTATATTGATACGCGAGCCCTCAGCCACCACCTTGAAATTCTCGGGCTCTGCATGAACAGGTACCATTGTTCAGAAGGCCCTAAATGCGATGAAACATAAAGAGGTGGTTCTAGGTACCCGGAACGACAGTGACCAGCTGCTTGGCGTCGTAGTCGCCGTCGGTGAGAACGGCAGCCAGGGTGTTGGTGAAGGCGAAACAGCCGGCCGTGAAGGAAGCCACCTCGAGAGGGCCGTACGTCTGGCACACCAAATGGAACGTAACACACTGGAATTGAGCCACACGCTCATCTACGGAAGGGCAAAGAGCCTTAACCTTGAAACTGAACTTGGACGCGGTGGTGGAGAGCAGAGGTCCCTCCTCCGAAGGGGTTCCAGGGCCGGTCGTCAGTTCCACCTTGGCGTTCCTGGGCAACTCTTCAACGGGTCTGTAGCACCGAGTGCCCCACAAATAGTGTTGAGCCAGTGGGGGCACATTCCCGGTGCAATTGTCAATTGTACCTGACGATGAGAATGCGCTCCGGGTCTGCCCTTTCGACCAGAGCAGCGATCGATTTATCGGCCACATCGGACGGAGCGATGGCTTCCAGCCCAATCTCTCGGTCCTCCTCCACCACTGCAATGAACAGGGATTTCTCGTTAGCGATGCCCGAGTAGTGTCTGTTGTAAGAAAGAGAGAAGGAGAAATGAGGACGCTGCCGTACGCTTGGCAGTTACGTTGGGCAGCACTTTCGAGGGGTCGATCAGCTGGTCGAATCGCATGAAGATGGTCGGGCGCAAGCCGCAAGCCTGCTCTAGTTCCGACCCCAGCGAGTGCGAAGCGACTCCGATTCTGACCGTAGTGAACGAGAAGACCAGGTCTTCCGCCAACGCCGCCCCCTGTATTGTAGATGACGATCAATTTATGAGGTGGCCTTTCAAAGCACGTGACGCAAACGCGCACCTTGGTGGAGGTCATGGCGGTGCTGTCGACCCTGACCTTGAACTCGGTGCTGCGCGGGAAGCCGCTCTCAGACTCGAACGCCAGTGTATGTACATTGAGCCTGGCACACGACATAGCTGATCAAGGGAGAGCTCTTTTGCTGAAAGGGCGGCCAAGACTTGGCCAAGAGTCACATACCACTTCCATGAACCGTCGATGAATGGCGAGATGGAGACGCCCTCGACGCTGCCCATCTCCTGCAGCTCCTGGTGCGACGTGACCGGAATCATCGGCAGGGAGAAGGTGATGATCACTTGGCTGCTGGGCGTCTTCAGCTCGCCCTCCGGTGAGTACCGCAGCACCCTGTGGGCAATCACATCAGATTTAGGTCAGGGTGCGACAGTCCAATGACTACTGCATGACGATAGCGCAGATAGGGGAAGAAGGTAGTCGTAGGAGTACTTAAGACGTTCAGGCTCACTCTGGCCCTCTTCGGACATGCTCCTCTCATCGTCGTCACCGACCGAGGGGAAGGCTGGGTAACGCGAGCGACCGCCACCACCCTCTCCGCCCTCTTCCTCTTCCATCGCATCTTCGCCGCTTGGCTCTTCCTTCTTGAAGGCGAACGCCGGGGCAGCGTCGGTCTCATCTTCTTCTCCGAAGAGGTCGCTGCCTCGGGGTGCGAACGCACCGAGGGTCTTGAGAAGACCCTCACTCTCCGCGAGGGACAGCTCTTCCGTCGCCCCGTGGTCCTGGCGCATGGCATTCTCGTCTTCGTCTCCGCCGCCGCTCGCCTTTACTGATTCGACCGCGAGCTTGAGCTGCGTTGTGTTGCCTTGCCTCTTCGCGGCGGCCGCGGGAAGCATCAGGCCAGCATTGGTGCCAGACTCAGCCAGCCGCAGCACCAGATGCAGGGTGGCACCATCAGGGATGCCGTATTCCTCTACGAACTTGTCCGCCTGCGACACAGATGCAACAAAAAAGCAAGACCATCATCACCAGCCGCACAACCCACAACAAGGCAACTCTTGCCTGGGCGGGAGGTGGAGGGACCAAAGGCGAACCTCGAGGTTGCGGCCCGCCCAAATGAGGCGTTGTTGTTCTATGGGGATGCCTTCGCTCTTGTGTACGGCCTCGTGTATTTCCTTCACCCGAACGAAGCGGCCCGAGGCCTCAATTGTCTTCCCGGTGAGGGTCTACAGGATGTAGAGGGGGGGGGGTTAGTGCGCATCTTGCCAAGGACCCTCACCGACCGACCCTCACAGCACGGCAAGTAAAACCTTGACGCTCAGGCTCAAAAATGGATGCACTTTCTTCTTTGCCACAGGGGCAGTCGCAGCACTGGTGTCCTTCTCCATCTTCAACCAACCTGGTTCTCTTTGTCTAGTTCTCTAGCCCCCCCCAGTTATTTTGTGGGTGTCCGCACCCTCGCAGCGAATTCTATTCGAGGAAAAACTTAAAATAAAATAAATTCATTTCATTATTATTTCTCAGTTGACAAGTCCAGGCCTGATCGCACTGGTGTCTAGTTGAGGAAGAGGTAGTTCTTGTGGTCAGGCGAGCCGGCGCAGGGCAGGACGAGGGAG